GCCCCGGGCCGCCCCGGGCCCGCCCCGGGCCGCCCCGGGCCCGCCCCGGGGCCGCAGTCAGTTCATTGCAGACTCAAGGCATTTGTCACCCCCAGTCTGGCAAAAAACCTCACTTCTGGCCGAAAACCTGAGCATATATAATTATATAGGTGTATGTACATTCAAATGTGGAGAATATTTTCAGTACCTAAGTAACCATGTCCGACCCCAAAAGGATTGCAATGCCAAAGTCTTCCCAAAAGGCCCTTTGTACTTAAAGCTTGCAGATTCAACACAACTATTAGCCCGGAAGCGATCTTGGATGACCTTAGTGGGAAGCCAAGCCAGGGGACGGGGGTTAGCAGAGTCAAGGCACATACTGCCCCAACGCCTGCTTGGATGCCCAACCATTTTCGGAAGTTGAACCAGGCCAGCAGTACCAAGAACTGATCACCGTGATCCTGACAAAAGCAAAGAAAATGACGCCGGGCGGGAAATTACCCCCTATGCCAAGGGTCTGTTGCCCATAAATAGTTCCTACCCATTTGTTCGACGCAACCCAGCCCTTCCAACTCGGCTAGGCCCCATTGCAAACCCCGCCCCCAAGGGCCTGTTTAATTCTATTCTTGGCGACATTGCAGTAAAGCCAACCAGACATCATTCTTAGAGTGAACGTCTACCTGGGCATATGCCTGGCACGCCCCCCCTGGTGCCGCTTTTTCTCTGCATTTTTCGGGTTTTGCATATTTATATGCCAAGAATGAACACCAAGGAAGGGGTGTGCGCCACAACCCTATATACTTGCATTTAGTGCACTTGTAAGTGCCGAAGCTTAGACTTTTTCATGCCGGTATTTAGATTTCTTAATGTGACGGGTGAGGAAAGAAGCCGCCCAGTGACACGAGTTAGATTTCTTAATGCAGTCAATTGAATTTCTCAATATCGGTGATTAGCTTCTGGGTCCAAGATCCAAGATTTGAGATCGTTGAGGGACGTTTGAGGGAAATCTTGGCCATGATGAATACAGGTATCTAGGCTTCTGAGTACCGGCGTTTGCACTCTGGATCCAAGATATGATTGTTGAGGGACCTTTGAAGGACATCTTGGGTCATGGAGGCCCCTTCTGATTGCCATTCAAGCGACCCTAATCAAAAGGTGCCCATTTTGGCTGCCACTGGCGCGCCCCGCGTGCCTTGACGTGGCTCGCGCAAAAGCGTTGGTGGTGGCGGCGGTGGTGGTGGTGGTGGCTGTTTGTTGTTTGTTGCTTGCTTGTTGTTGGTTTTTGGTTGTTGGTTGTTGGTTGTTGGTTGTTGGTTGTTGGTTGTTGTTGTTGCTGCGGCTGCGGCTGCGGCTGCGCTTGTTGTTGTTGTTGTTGTTGTTGTTGTTGTTGTTGTTGTCGTTGTTGGGTTCGTTGTTGGTTCCTTGTTGGTTTGTTGTTGGTTCCTTGTTGGTTCGTTGTTGGTTCGTTGTTGGTTCGTTGTTGGTTCGTTGTTGTGTTGTTGTTTGTTGTTGTGTTGTTGTGTTGTTGTTGTTGTTGTTGTGTTGTTGTTGTTGTTGTTGTTGTTGTTGTTGTTGTTGTTGTTGTTGTTGTTCTTGTTGTTCTTGTTCTTGTTGTTCTTGTTCTTGTTCTTGTTCTTGTTGTTCTTGTTCTTGTTCTTGTTCTTGTTCTTGTTCTTGTTCTTGTTCTTGTTCTTGTTCTTGTTCTTGTTCTTGTTCTTGTTCTTGTTCTTGTTCTTGTTCTTGTTCTTGTTCTTGTTCTTGTTCTTGTTCTTGTTCTTGTTCTTGTTCTTGTTCTTGTTCTTGTTCTTGTTCTTGTTCTTGTTCTTGTTCTTGTTCTTGTTCTTGTTCTTGTTCTTGTTCTTGTTCTTGTTCTTGTTCTTGTTGTTGTTGTTGTTGTTGTTGTTGTTGTTGTTGTTGTTGTTGTTGTTGTTGTTGTTGTTGTTGTTGTTGTTGTTGTTGTTGTCGTTGTCGTTGTCGTTGTCGTTGTCGTTGTCGTTGTCGTTGTCGTTGTTGTGGTCGTCGTCGTTGTCGTCGTTGTCGTTGTTGTCGTTGTTGTCGTTGTCGTTGTTTGTCGTCGTGGTCGTCGTCCTCATCGTGGTTGTGGATGTTGTTGTTGTTGCTGTCGTGGGGGTGGTTCTGGTTGTTGTTGGTGGTGGTGATGGTGGTCGTTGTGGTTGTGGTAAAGGTTGTTTTGTGGTCGTGGTCGTCGTGGTCGCCGTCACCGGCTTAGTTATGCTCGTCGTTGGTCTTTTTGGCGATTGCGTTGTCCCTGGCCCCGAGCCAGCAACAGTTGACCCAAAACCAACACCGGACTGCAAGTGTAAGCTCACCTACAGCTTTTACACCTGAAGCTTAGACTAGAACAATCATCAACATGTCAGACAAGGCTGAATTATCTTCCAAGTCCCGCAGTGGACCCCAACGTGCCTGCTACTCTGGAATATTCCTGGATGTCATGGCAGATTTCAACAAGTGATGTACGGGTGAACCACCATCGCCAAAAACATATCTGTATATATATATATATCTATACATAAATGCACACACAATACGTACATCGATCAAATTAGAAGGCTCAGCATGCATGAGAGCAACCAAGACTTGCCAGACGTCAATAGGAATTCCAGTCATTTGATATGCAGCGTAGTGCTCAGGCCGGGCGTGATCCTGCAAACCCATTCAACTTCCAGGGCTTGCAGATGCCGCAGGCTTTGCTTGACACACAGTTCACCTTTGAACTTATTTAGACATTTAGGCATGCCTTGGCGTTGTATTGGTGCATGCCAGCTGACGATGCCCACGCTCGGTGGTATGCCTGGTTCTGCACTTAATGTCTGCATCCAGCTTTATGTGCACTTAGTGTGGCTCAGGCATGCCTCAGGGCCCAAGGCCTGATTTCGCTGCGCCGCGCCCTTACCAGAATTCTTGATAGTCTGATCATGCAAGCACTCTGAAGGTCAGGGATGTTCCGAATGGGCTCACCGGCCTAGTACTGTCCTCACGCCGTACTTGCCACTGTCAAGTCTCTAGAAACAGAAGTGGCAGCTCTTGTTATTCTTTACATTTGTTTGGTAATTTGGGTAAACCGACAGGTTTGGAGCAAGGTTTAGACGAGCAGGGACGCTGGTGAATGATGCTGGAACATTAGTTGCACGTGGATGAGGCTTCTTGAGGCAAAGACAATGAAGTTGATAGTTGTCAGGGTGGAATTGGTTATGATGGAGCGAGTGCATCCGAGCATCCTTGCACATCAGCGTTCGATCTTTGGGCGGAATGCGGGGTGCCGCCAAGGTGCTGGCTACGGTAGTCCTGCAACCCAAAACGGGTTGGGTAAGCAAGATGGGTTTCAGAGCCTCTATGATGCACCAGCCATGTGCTCGTGTGCTGTCGCCTATAGCTAATGCTACCAATGCCACAATATACATACTATACTCTGATGCGCGTAGTGGGAATAAAATGCTCTGAAGTTGCACACTGGCCACAAATGCACTGAGAGTTGAGCGGAATTTGCGTTGTATTAGCTTGCCTTGACATCACCCAGATCACGCTCGCAATTCACGAGACTGCAGCTGTATAACCATATCCCGATGGTTTGTCCGGCCAGCAGGAATAGAAATGGCTCGTGGATTGGCAAGTTTCTCTAATGATATTTATTTGCTACAGTTGTTGAGTCAACGAACAGATTCAAGGACATGTGAATGCACGGCACAAGTTATGCAAACAAGCGACTCACGATTCTGAATTGTGTACGGAATTCAAGATGCTGGCAGCCGTGCAGGCTGCTTTTCTCACATATTGACCGTGATGTGTGCTTTATGAGGCCAGGCTCTTGGAGTTCCCGTGCTGGCTTCGGTATGGCGCCGCGCTGGCCGGGAGCCAGGTGCAGAATGTAAGGCGAGGCATCACTGCTGCAGGTTTTGTGGGTCTTGACGTTCATCTACACAGGCTATGACAAAGCGCGTCTCAGTTCTTGAACGCGGACTCTTGCGCTGTTTCGCCAACACCGAGGTCTACTTGATTCTGTCTGCGATGGCCTTCATTTTGGGGCCAGCCTGCCATGTCTTGGCTGTTGGCTTTTTGCAAAGCTGCTGTGTGACTTTTTGCAGCATAAGTCAGCGCTTCATTGACCTACACTGGTGTTCATCCAATCGGCTTTTCAATGATTACTGCTCTAGTTTATGTTTCCGCAGGGCTACGATGTTCCAAATCGAAAGCATGTCTAGAGGTGCACTAATTCAATCCTTGCGTGATGTTGTTTTTGTTGGAGCAAACAAACAAGAACTTGATGTATGGGAATAGTGTGAGTCTACGAGTGCTGGCAGTGTCGTCCTTCTTGCGCATTTGCACGGTTGGTGACAAAATAGGTGGAGCTCTTTCGCAAATAAGATAACGATTCTTTCTATAGTGCTCTTTATCGGAAATAGCTTGCTTTTAGCCAGAAGTCAATAAAGCGATATGAGGATGATGAATCTCTAATCAGCTCACTAAAAGATAAAGATCAAATAGTTGAGCAACATGATGTTAACATCCCTATCATGGGGAAAACAAGTCAATGACAACGTTTATTTGTATGAGACAAGACAGGGCATACCACTTGCAAGGCCAGGCCTAGGTGAAGGACGTGGGGAATACTCAGTAAGCTCCTCAGCACTCAAAAGCTTTCCTTGTGGAATCCCTACGCTTGAATCGAGGCATACTCTGTTTTTAACAGAGGGTGTCTGCCCCAGCTATCGTCGAGTCTGCTGTGCATTCTCTTTGAATGCCGTCGTCAAGGCAAAGGCATTTGCTTGGCGAGTTGCGCGCAGAGCAACTGGATGCGGAGCAGCGCAGCAGCCTCGTGCCAACAAGCCAGAGAAAGCTGATTTCACACACGCTTTCATGTCTGCTTTTGGTTGCCGCGGCATAAGATTTTGCCGAGCCTTTTGGATCGTAGCACTGAATCCTGCATCCACCACCGGATGTGTGGCGTCTCGTGCAAGAGTGCCAGAGATTGCCCTCACAGTGCATCCACAGCGCAAGTTGAGGTGGTGATCAGCAACTGGCTGGATATGCAGGCTAGGTGTTCAGCTGAAATGCTTGCAATTGCAGCAATATAGAACCCTATGACTGAGACCGAGAACCTGACGGTGGAGGCGCAACCTGCCAGCCGCAAGCCGTAATCAAATTGTAGAAGTCAATGCACAAAACCGTCTGCGAACAGAATAGCACTGCTTCGACTGCTTTGGCCAGATTTGCTCTCGTTGGCACTCAAGTCGCAGGTTTGATCGAACTGCCTGGCACTGAAGAGGTTGGCTGTTGGCTGTCCCTTGCTTTCAATATTGCTGAGCCCAAAATCGTGTGGCTAGGAGGACAAGCCCACCATCCGAAGCCGGGATGCTAATAGGTTTGCAACCTACAGTAGCCGTAGAAACCACCTACACAACACACAGCTTGTCTCAACCAAGACCCTGCTCCTGCGGCTCAGGCACGGATCAGTGTTTCTGTTGGAATGGTGTGTGCAAAAGTAGCTGCGCTTGACAGGCAAGAAGGCAAAACGCTGCTGCTTTGATGCTAGACCTCCCCGCGACAGCCAGAACCTTTCGTGAGGTACTTGGCAACTTGTTCTTGACAGATTGGTTGCCACTTTTCAGGCATGCCTCGGAGCACAGCCAAAGCAGAGCCGAGAACAGGTTGTGGAGACTGATCTTGTTCCCGAGCCTCCCCCGCGTCAGGGCCAGATGCATTGCTTGAAGAGTGGCGCGTGGAGCTAAGTTGCACAGCGAGTCGAACGTGATATGCACACTGCAAGGAGCAGAAATGGAAGTGGTCGCCAGCGGGTGCAAAAGGCGACTATGGCAGGGCAGCATGTGGAGATGACACATGTACTTGCGATACAATCAAGGCAGTGCCTGCAGAGTTTGCACTTGCTCAATGACACACCCACACTCATACGCACACGCAAATGCACACACATTCAGTATCAAACTGAAAGTTTTAAGTCTTCACAAGGTCACCGTCAAAGCCGACTTACGCCAAGATTTGCAAGCAACTGCTTGGCCATGCAGGTTGCCTGCCGACCTGACAGCGAGTGAATTGTAAACTCGCAACAACCATGTGCAGCAGGAACTCCCCGATTCAAGGAGTCAAAGCCTGAAGTTGCATCACATTCCGCAGTTCCTGCTATGGCCATGAAAGGCACTGGCAATTGCCAGAGGGTTGGCCCAGCCATGCGCTGGGCTAGGCAGGCGGAGCCATGCAATGGTGGGTTCTGCTGCTGGAGGCGATTTTTTTTCTGAGAGCTTTTGTGCGAAGCTTCCACTTTCAGCAGGTGCTTTGTGCTGCACAGCGCCAAGCTCCTGATGGTGCCGAAGTGGCGGTGATCCTCAGTGTGTCTCAATTTTAGATACACGCAGTATATTTGCTTTTACAAAACCTGCACAGGCGTACAGACATGCAGACATACAGACATACGAGACGTACAGACAGGCAGGCAGGCAGGCAGATAGAGAGAGAGAGTCAGAGATACAGAGAGACAGAGAGACAGAGGGACCATGCCACCCCGACAACACCGTGCCACACCATGCCACACCCTATGCCACACTACGCAAGACAATACCACACCATGCCTACTGACGTAGTGTACCATTCCACACTGCAACGTCTCGCCCCAGACTATGGCTTACCGTACCGTACCATACATTCCGCTCGAACTCTACACGTGCAAGTCACATGGATGAGGTCAGTGCCTGCTTTTTCGCGTATGTGCTCAAGCTTGACATGCCCGGCTCCAGCGGCAGCCCAAGCAAGCTGACCGGTGCAAGGGGCCGTGTTCATTCGGCAGGCCATTTATTTGCAGTGACCGACGTTCAGTTGAATTGCGCCCAGATCATCACACTATCCGAGCATCAGACTTCCAGCGCAAGGCATAGACCACACAATTTGTGAAGTTACCAGTCATTCCCAACTACCATTTTTGTGCTCTTTCAGTGTGTGCTAGGCTGTAGGGTTCTACGCAGAGACGGGCTCGCCACCACCGCTCCTAGAGGTTGGATGCATGCAGCTGGTCAAAGCTTTGGAAGACTCTGCGTCAAACCCCAGGCATACTGGATGTTGGCTCTTCCCGAACACTTCCAGGTGTTGGTATATTTATATTTCCATGACCAGATGCATTTTGGCTTCCAACTGCATGTGAGCAGGAAGCTGTGCTCAAGGAATGCCCAGCAATGGTAGCTTCTTGGCTGCACATCAATGCCTTTGAATTTTGAAGTCCATCATATCAAACAATCTAAGTGAAGCAATGGGCACGTGCTTTGAACACAAAGCGGTTGGTTCATGCATTGCCACCCAAGCTGAGGTGCTGGCCTATTTGCTATGTGCGGAGACCAAAATATATCTCGACCCATCTGCCGCAGCTGAGTATTTTGACATTGGAACCAGTGTGCTACAGAGGTGTGGATTGTCATTCCTCAACCATCCCAGTTAGATGCCCTGCAGGCTTGAGCGCCGGACAGCTGCCCTGATTCGGGAGCCGGACGCTTGGGTGATAGATAGTATGTGGAGCATGCGCCCAGTGGTTTCCTGTTTTCGGTGCATTCTGAGATCCTGGCCGGTGGATGCAGCGCTGCAGCGCATCCAGACAGTTTACGAATCTACGGGCAGGCACAGGGCTTGTGTGGGCGTTTCAGGCAGCCTCGGGTGAAGGCCTTGCTGCCGTACATGCTATGCAACCTATGCCGTACATGCTGTGCCATGTATGCCATGTCGTTTTCGCACTGTGTGAACCCATAATCTGCGGGCACAATCGTGGCTCAAGAAACAAACAGCGCGGTGCTGCGCACATAGGTTATAAGCCCAAACGCTTCCTGACAAGGCCCGCAATGGATCTCGGCATGAGGAGACGGAGGGCAAGGTCGGTGGACGTGGCCGGCATGGGCATCCTGGTGGCCGAGCCGGAGGGGGAGGTCGCCATAACCGGTGAGGCGGCGGACGGGGTCTCCGACGGCGGGGATGCGGGCAGGCCGGTGGAGGTGAACCCGTTTTGGAGCAAGAGAGCGAGGCAGAGGCGGAGCTTCAGGCCCACAGGCCCCGGGATCTGCCTAGGGTTCTCGAAGGGTCGGAAGGGAAGGGCCATCCACATGGAGATCAAGAAGTGTGGCAACATCCCGAGGCGCTGAGCAGCGGCAGGTCCGAGTATTGGGAAGGTGTGAAAAGGAGCCTGCAAGAGGACTTGGAGAAGGAGGCGGAACCGGATGTGGAGGTGAAGCATGGGAGAGGGAGCAGCAGTGATGGTTGTCGGGGTGCGCTTGGAGGGTGGCCACCAGCCTCCGCAAGCTCCTGCAAGGTGGCATGATGATCATGGGCGTGGCATGATGATAATGGTCAAAGGGATCTTGCAGCAGTCCCTGGAAAAGGGCAGGTCCGCACCAGGAAAGAAGAGAAGGTGATGCACGTGGGGCAGGAGGTCATGGAGAAGTTCCTAGAGGCAGGCGCCCAATCTACAAGGCGGACATGCTGCCCGAGATGGAACAGGGCTTTTGTCGAGATCACGGCGGAGAAGCGGGCCGGGCTGGTCAAGGTTCTGCAGCGCCTTGGAGGCAAGGCTCCGTGATGGGAAGGGTAAAGGAAGCCATGGGAGCATCAGGCCTTCGGAGTTGAACACGAAGGCAACGGCATCCGGCAGCGAAAATGTGGATTCTGGAAGGGAACCTGCCGTCGGGCCTGAGGTATGAGGATCAAGATATGTTCGAGGCGCAGGAGGCCATGGAGAAGCAATTCATGCTGGCCTGCCGGATGATTCGGGGGATTGCAAGGAGTCATTGCAAGGAGTCATTGCAAGGAGTCATTGCAAGGAGTCATTGCAAGGAGTCATTGCAAGGAGTCATTGCAAGGAGTCATTGCAAGGAGTCATTGCAAGGAGTCATTGCAAGGAGTCATTGCAAGGGAGATGGAAAGGTTTTTTTAAGAGGAACCGTTGCCGAGAAGGACCGGCTCTTGCTGGAGATGCGGAACCGTTCTTGGAGGTCAAGGGCCAGCTTCAAGAAGCGCAGGATGAGGTGTCCAGTTGGCGGTCATGGTGGGACCGTTGGGAGTGGGATGGTTACAGTGGAGGAGACAGGAAAGGGTGAACGGTGTCCACACACCGGGATAGAAGTCTCCGCGCCCACCCCCGTATCCGCCAAGACCAAGGATGCCAGAGAGAAGGAGTTCCGGACACGCCAAGGTTCCTGGTGAGACCCTGCCTTTCTTGGTGCTCTTCGTCTTGAAGGAGGAGGTGCCTGCGCCAAGGGAGAAGAATCGAGGGAAGGTGAGCTGTACACCTGCGAGAAGGACTTCGAGACGGGTGGCTTGAAGATGGTGCCGGCGAAAGGGGCCAGAGATGAACCGAGGAGTTTGGAAGGCAGGTTCCAGCGCCGCCGCCGGGTTTGGACATCAAGGCCATCGTGGTTCCGGAGCCGGTGGACGAGAAGGTTGTGGGGGCGAAGCTGCCGGAGCTGGGGGCCATTACTGGTGGCAGGCGACTGGCTTGCGTAAATCCGACCGATCATGATGGACCTTAGCGCAAGTGCGGCGGTTTGGTGGGAGCACATCATGGACCACGCGGAGAAGGCCCGGCGGCGGAGAGGCGTAGCCGGACTTCTGTTTGCGCATTGCCTTAGAATGTGAGGCAGGAGGTGGTATCGAGGTGGACGATGTCGGCAGCAACTATGGTCTTCAAGCTGGACGGAATGACTGATGATGCAAACCCCGCTGAAGCATCTCCCAGGCCCAACCCCAGACCCTGATGATGTCCTCCACACCGCTTAAACCACTGGCAAGCAGAACCGCAAGCCCGAGCTGGTGATGCAGAGGTGCCCTCGCCTGTTGTCTACTGGCTGGAGGCGGGGCCACGCAGTTTCGGGGTTTGGTTTGGCGGATTTGCCTGTTGTTCGTTCGAACCTGACTTGTGACTCAACGCAAGGTCGAAAGCCGCGCACAAGACCCGGCGCGGCCAGGGCAGCGCCCACCTCTGCGTGCAGATAGCGCCCGAGCAGACAAATGAGGCTTGGAGGGGCAAGGTCAAAGCCATCGCGCGAGACCAGGCACGGCACGGCGCGGCAGCGCCTGCCGCTGAGGCCAAGGGCAGCGGCGCGGTGCTCGAAAAAGGGCCAAAAAATTGAAAACCCGGCAGCGTGCAAAAGTGCGCGAAACAGAGCAAGCCTCCAAATTTCGAGGTGAAACCCGCGAGCAAGACGTGGCCCCTCTGCGCCAAAGCGCAGTGGCGCGGCACGCAAAAGTGAGTTTGTCTTTTGTGACTAGCCAAGCTTTTCAGGCACCTTTTTGCGCTTGGGTGTTGGCTGGTCTTGCGCGCGGCTTTCGACCTCGCGGCTGCCGGCGCCCTCCGGGCTTGCTGCCGGGTCCTGGCTGGTCTTTTTAATGGGTTTTGATTGAACCGTTTGGCGCCCTCCGCTATGCCACTGCCTTGCCTGGTTGTTCGCGCGGCTTGCTGCAGTCTGGCTTTTGGCGCGTGGCGCTGCGCTTGGGCTGGTCTTGCAGGCGGTCTTTCCGTTTTTGTGTGCGTGCGCTGTTTTGCGCGGTGTGGTGCTGTGTTGGCTGGGCTTTTGACCTGGTCGTGCTGCCGGCGCCCTCCAAGCTGGGTGTGAACGGCAGCAGGCCCCAAAGTTTGAAGGCCAGCAGCCAGCAGAGCCGCGGCGTGCAAAAAGTGTCCAAGCCAACAAACAAGGCTCGGAGTGCTAGATGGCAGAGAGCTAGCAGCAACCAAAGCCAATGCGACGGAACCTTCGGTATCGCAGGCGCCGGCCCGCCTTTGCACGCTCCGAGGACCTAGGTGGGGGTCGGCGGATATCACGCCCTACGCGCCGTGGCTGCCGTGCCACACCAGAACAGATATCTAATATGCCTTACGCTGCGTGTCCTGACTCTCTACTTGTTACTTTCATTTCTGGAGGCTTACTTCTGCTCCGCTGCCTCAAGCTGGTTTGCTCGATATTGTCATCTCGTTTTGTCGCGAGGAGCCCAGCGGCGCTGCAATTGTTGACCGTTTTCAGGTTTTCACGGCGTTGCGAGTTTCTGTTTTGGGCCCCTTGTAAGAAGCGGAAGGACTTAGACTGGCTGCGTGTGGCCCTGCCACGCTGGATAAAAGGCGGGTGTTTCTGCATCATGTATTTTGTTTGTTGAAATCAAAATTGTGCACAGGCCCAGCTCGTCTCTTTATCTACGAGAAGCGAGAAGCTTAGCGTCTGGCGTTGAGACAGGCTTTGCATTCTAGAAAACTATCAGCTAACGTTGGGCATTCAAGTAGCCTTTTCGCAAACTTGTGACAACAACTTTCGTCCTCCAACCGCCTGACCTCGCCTGCCCTTCTCGCCTGGGCTTGCGTGCAAGTCCTATGCATTTTCTTATGCAACCTGGCTTACATGGCAACTCGATGCATGTGGATCTTAACGAAGAAGCTGCGCCTAGGAAGGCTGAGGCCAGCGCAACGACCGTTCCCTAAGACGAAGGCATTGGATTTAAAGGCTCGAAACACTATGGTGTGGAAGAATATGTGCCGCACGAAATGACTTTGGTGGGAGGAGAGGCGCTGCTTCTTTGTCTTTCACCCAACTGGCACGCGCCTGTCCACTTAGACAAGTCTTGAGCCGGCCGCAAGTCCTCACACCTCAGTGCGCCCCCTGTTCTCTTTCTCAGAAAGCAACCTTCGCAACATTTCTTGCAGTCTGTTGCGGGCTTTTGCAAGACAATTGTTATGGGCGCTGCTCCATGCTGCATATGTTTGCGCGCTGATAGCACGGCCTGCGCTGCTTTTCCGAGGTGTAGGCATTCAGCTGACGTGAGCGCACTGCCTGCACGCATCAAGGCTCTTGCGCTTGTTTGGAGTTTGGAATGGTTGAAGTTGACATCTTGGGGTTGGCAGCAGGTCATTTACCAGCTTCGCGCTGAGCGTACATCCTGCATTCGAATCTGTGTGTGGTAGTGGAAACATGTTGGCATGTGTTGGTAAGGCGGATTGACGATGGACCGCCAGGCATGGATGGGAGTCGATTGGCAAGCTGCAGCGCACGTTGAGCGGGTGCAAGATGCAAGACCTCAGGTGGACGCAAGGATGAATGCAGTGCTTACCTGTCGCACTTGGCGAGCGCTGCCATCACCAAAGATGCCGCGCAGTTCACTCTGTTTTTGCAGGCTGTGCAAGAGTGACAGTGAAGACACTGAATGTTTTGATTTTGGGGATGCCAAACTTTGTGAAACATGAAACGCGCAGGCCGACGCCTTGAATCATGTTTGGCCTCATTTGCTACACGTGGTGATGCGGGCACTCCAGGCACGAGTCTTCCTCGTATGCCTAAGATATGTTTGTTGGAGGACTTCAGGTGCCGATTTCTGCTTTAGTTGAATTTTTTCTATGCGTTTCTCAATCAATTTGCAGCTTCGCACGCTGGACGTAGCCTTCCTGCACCTCGGGCAATCGCGAATGGTCGAAGGCTGAGAGGTACACAGAAAACCCTTTCGGGGGACACATGAGAGGATAGAGTGACCAGAGTTGGGGTAAGGTTACGTCGACTTCTCCATGCAAGCGGGCAATCTTCAATCAGGCTCGAAGCCGGGCCATTGACAAAGGTTATAAGTGCCATTGGACTGCGCTTCAACGCATCGAGGTCGATTTAGGGGGAGTTTGCTGTTGTAGATCAAGCTACTACATTTCTGGTTCCTTCACAATCAGCAAGAGCGTACTTCTTGCGTGGCAAGCAACACCCAAGTGGCTCATGTTCCAAAACTAAGGACTGTGTTCCGTGTTCCACGCGCCGGCTTCACATGGGATGGACGTGATGGATGGCGGATGATGGATGGATGGATGGATGGATGGATGGATGGATGGATGGTTGGATGGATAGATGGATGGATGGATGGATGGATGGATGGATGGCTGGATGGATGGATGGATGGATGGATGGATGGATGGATGGATGGTGGACGGACGGACGGACGGATGACAGGGGGATGGACGGATGGATGGATGTCTCATCCTTATTGTCATCAGCATCATGGCATCGTCGCATCCTTTGCATGACTAGTGAGTGTGAGGAAAACAATCAGTGTAGCATATCATGCGTTGCCAATGGTCTTGCGGCGTGAGAGACCACGCCGCATTTGACATGTGTGCAATAAGAAGAGATGATGCTGACCATGATGCTGATGATGATAAGGATGAGGGTTGTGATGATAGCTATCATCGTGGCACCCTCTGCATCACTAACAACTGTGATGACAACTGTCATCGTAGCATCTTCTGCACCACGAATGACTGTGATGATGTCTATCATCGTAGCATCCTCTGCATCACGAATGACTGTGATGATATCTCTATCATCGTAGCATCCTTTGCATCACCAGTGACAGCCGGCTCTGGCTCCCGTGCTGCTGGCTCCGGGATTGGCTCCTTGCAATCACGAACGTGGAGAGTGACACACTTGAATCACCCCATCCGCGCACTTTCAGCGTTTCTTGTATGCAGCCCGCGCAGGTGACCGTAGCAAACACAAACAGCCGTGTGTGAACTGAGCTTGGCCTGCGCGTGCAATAATTACCACAAAACATCTGACAACCTGACAGCCACACACACACACACCTGGCACAGAATCCACAAGCAAAATTAACGAAAAACTAACACCTCTTTCCACAAACTGAGCCGGCGCCGATGAACTGCTCGGCTCCTGCTGCTGCCAAGACAAGCCCCCTGATAACGTGTGGAAAGTGACACATTTGAGTCCACCCCATCCGCACGGCTCCTGCTGCTGGTACAGCAAATAAGCGAAGCCCCGAAGCGGCATTTGCGCATGACATGCTATGCAAATTTGTGGGAGGACCCGAACCCTTGGGAATCTCCTTGGGCTCCTACAGGGTCACCTTCAAAAAGTACAGGAACACAGAAGCTGGAGCCGAAGATGAAGATGACCCATGTCCTCGACCAGGCGGACGAGACCGAGTTCATGGTTGAGCCGGAGGAGACAAGGGCGAAATGGGTCACACAGTATGTCTCTCTCACAGGAGGTTTGCCCCCAAGAGGAGGAGGAACCTTTGATGGAACAGCTGTCAGCCCTGAGTCGGAGAGTCTTTTCTCTCAAAGGGCCACCTTATGCGGACTTCTCGGCGTGGGTTCCCTACGGCAAGAAGGCTTTGCGGACAGCCAGGTTCAGATCCTACGTGGCGACGCTGGAGGGCTTTGTGACGAAGGAACTGGCTGGACCCACCAATTTCGAGATGTGGCAGGCCAGTTTTCGGGTGTACCGTACGGCCATGGTGATGCTGAACATTACCCCTTTGGCGCACCTCAATGCCTACGAAACTCACTTGGACAAGATGGTGCGCTTCTACCCGGGCTGCTGGCACCTCCGTGCAAGCGGACGACAGAGCGAGGTCAAGCACCTCGCCCGTTTGAAGCTGAGGGTCATCATGGGCAGGAGCTTGGGATCAGACCAGGTGCCTGGGAAGCTTTCGCAAAACAGTTATGGAGATCATGTGGAGAAGTGGAAGGAGAGGTTGAACCAGCTGGTGGGCACCAAGCCCGGGCCGGCCGTGAAGCTCATACCCCAGGGCGTTTACATCACTCCGGCGAACGTCCCACTCATCAAGGCGTGGAGCGAGAAGGGTGGGGGCCCGGAGACGGAAGCTCAAGTCTGGCTGGAGGAAGGTGCCCCGCTGGGCATCGAGAAGGAAATCAAGACGCGTCGCATCTTTCCCTTGTCCGACGAGGGCCGCAGGAACAGGGCCTCCCGGACGCAGCAGCGCAGCTCCACAGAGGCGACATGACCAACTACGAGTCGGTCGAGAACAACAAGGAGGAGGCGGAGATTGAACTTCGTAGATATGAGGAGAAGGGCTACATGAAGCGCTTGTCACGCCAGGAGCTCCTGCAAAAGTTCCCTAATGGTACCATCTCACAGTTGGCGTTGATTCTGAAGGTCAAGGAGAACATGGAGGTGAAAAGACGAGTGGTGATCGATCTGAGGAGATCGTGAGGTAATGCCAAGGCCCGTCTGCCCGAGAAGCTCGTACTTTCCTCGCCCTGATGACGCTGTACGAATGGTTCGGTCAGGAGGTGAGCGGTGCGACCAGGGACGGAGTTTGTGCTCATCGACATCTCCGATGCCTTCATGACACTGCCAGTGCACGAAGATGAGCTTGGCCACGGCCTGGCCCCAGGCACCGTCGAAGGGGAGTACATCCTGTTCTTGGCGCTCCTCTTCGGTTTCAAGACTGCCCCGCTACTCTGGAGCAGAGTGGCAGCACTCATAGCTAGGCTACTGCAGAGCGTCGTAGACGCCAAGGAGGGTGCCCGCCAGGCGTGAGCTGGGCAGCCTGCGCACCACCAGTTTTGTGTTTGAGGCAAGCGCTACCTCGGAGGCAGACTGCATCAAGTGCAGGCACCTCGGCAACAGCACGAAGGCCGCGCGGAGCAGGTGAGGGGAAGGGCGGCCAAGGCCAATGTAAGGTTTCATGAGGGAAAGGATGTGGGGATGCCAGAAGGGGCCTCCCCCATTCTTCGCCCCCTCTGCATTTGCACAGGTGCCACCAGCACTCGAAAAAAACAAGGTGGCCTGTGCATATGTCGTACAGCAAATAAGCGAAGCCCCGAAGCGGCATCTGCGCATGACATGCTATGCGCTGAATGGTGGTGGGCTGGGTGCGTGCCATTTTGGCTCAAGCCCATGCCCACCACCTTGCGAGTTTCCCCACCCACCCACTGGAAGGGCGGCCAAGGCCAATGTAAGGTTTCATGAGGGAAAGGATGTGGGGAGCCTCCCCCATTCTTCGCCCCCTCTGCATTTGCACAGGTGCCACCAGCGCTCGGAAAAAAAAAGGTGCGCCTGTCTGCGGGTGGGTGGTGGCCTGTGCATATGTCCTGCCAAGACAAGCCCCCTGATAATATGTGGGAAGTGACGCATATGAGTCCACCCCATCCGCACAGACCGTAGCAAACGCAAACAGCCTTGTACGAACTGAGCCTGGCTTGCGCGTGCAATACCACAAAACATTGGTCTGCGGCACGCCAAGCTGCCGCGCCAGAGCGCGAAGTTGCAGCAGACGCCAGCTCTTCCTGCAGCCCGCTGGGCCCTCTGCGGCAGCACCAGCACGAAGCCTGGCCACCTCCAGCTCCGTGTCGTCCTGCCCCGTCCTGACGTTTGCTAGCAAAACTTGTTTTACCGCCAAAATAGCACGCAAACATGTCGTAGCTGCCCTTGCTACGTATCTGGCCCTTGGTTACCTCGCAGCGAGCAACTCTTGTGGAAAAGAACAACATCTCCCAAAAACAGCTTGCAACAAGCGGCCTGACTTCGCAAATCATCGCTCGCCTGGGCAGCCGTGGCTCCCCCGCTGCTGGGTCCGGGATCGGCTCCTAACGTGGAAAGTGACACACTTCAATCACCCCATCCGCGCACTTTGGGCGCTTCAGGTGACCATAGCAAACGCAAACAGCCGTGTGTGAACTGAGCTTGGCCACACACACACACACCTGGCACAGAACCCACAAACAAAATTAACTAATAACTAGCACGTCTTTCCACAAATGGAGCCGGTGCCGATGAACTGCTCGGCTCCTGCTGCTGCTGCTGCTGCTGCTGCTGCTGCTGCAAAGACAAGCCCCCCTGATAACATGTGGATGACCAAAGCAATCGCAAACAGCCGTTTATGAAATTAGCCGGCCCTGCGCGTGCAATACCGCAAAACATGTGACAACTTGATAGCCACACACACACACACACCTGGCATAGAATTTAGAAACAACAACTAATAACTAACACGTCTTTCCAAAAATGGAGCCTGGCCTGCTCGGTCAGCTTCTGCAGCACAGAGTCAGCCAGTTGAGCTTTCGCCCTTTCGCCAAGTTGACACCGCAAGCCGTCTGCGGCACGCCAAGCTGCCGCGCCAGAGCGCCAAATTGCAGCAGAACTTTGGCCGCCATGGCACCTGTCTCGGCCAAGCCAGCACGAAGCCTGGCCACCCGCGTCGTCCTGCGATATCCACGCAAAATGGCATGCCAGCGTGATCCACCAGAATGTCAAAACTGAAAGAAGCGCAGCCCAAAGTTCCAAAGCGCCAAAACATGAGATCTCCAGGCCCGGCCTGCGGGGGGTGAACTTCTGCAAGACAGCTGCAGCCAATTGAGGCCTCGACAGCTTGGCGCCATCAGCGACATGAACAGATCTCTAGGCCTGGCCTGCGGCGTGAACTTCTGCGAGACAGCTGCAGCCAATTGAGGCTTAGACAGCTTGCAGCCATCAACCTTCTGAGGCACGCCAGGCTGCAGCCACTTCCTCTTGCAGCCGCGCGAGGCCACGACGAACCACGCCTTGCCACTTCTCACTCCATGACTTTTGCTTGAGCCAATGCTGATATAGCACTGCCAGTGCCGCTACAGCGCAGCCAAACTTTGCAAACCATGATCGCTCACGCTGAAACCACTTCGGCGTGGTCGAAGTGCTCTCGCTGCAGCGCCGTGCCCTCTGCAGGGATCGTGCGTATCGAAGCGCTCTCGCTGTGGCGCCGTGCGAATTTGTTGCTTGCGAACTGGTCTTTGGAAGTTGTCGTGTGG